AAATTTCATAAAGATCGGGCCCCATTTGACCCTAGCTCCCATACAAAGTGCCCTTCAGAAAATTACTTGAATGTCCCAAATTAACTTATAAACACAAATATCGCGATGAAATTTAGCACAATAAAATATTATGTAAATATAAATATATTCACAAAATTTTATCGGGCTTGGTCCATATTTGCCCCTAGCCCCCATATAAAGCCTCTTTCAGAAAATTAGATTTTCATCCATAAATTGCTTAAATGTATCGGAACAAGGGAATATTGAAGATAAATGCTTTATTATGAAAAATAAATCACATTTAATATTCATAACTGGTGTAGGGTATCATATGGTCGGCCACGCCCGACTATACTTTCTTACTTGTTTTATTTTGTTTAATATTGACGCGGACATAATAACACAGAAAATTAACATTAATTTCACACGATACACGACACTATAGCGGACAAGGAAGAGAGACGCGTGTGAACAGATCGGACGACAGAACACCGTTCGTGACCCGGACCAATTAAAAAAAGTCCCTTTTAAGTATTTTTTTTTTAATTTTACAGTAATTTCTTAAAAAAAAATATACAATATGTGGTATCATTCCAAAGGTTTTTTAAAGCCAGGTCTACTGGTTTGTAGAATTTGTATACATTGTGCACACATTTTATTTTTATTGATGAAAAACTTAACAATTTTAAATATTTTGGAATATGACAGCAGACAGTTATTTATGATTAATACAACATTGGACGCGGCTTTAACCCCCCTTTCAAACATTACCCCATATTGGATATTTGGTTTCAAAACAAAACTAAAATTTTAAAAAAAATAATTAAAAAATACCTTTTTTAATTTGGTCCAGCTCACGAACGGTCATCGCTAGACATAAAATATTTTGTGAATCATCATAAAACAAAGCAAGGTATATTTTGAGAGGGGTAACAAAAACACATTTTGGCTTTCCATACAGAGTGAGTCGGTCTAATATACATATATATTAAGTACTTAATAAAATGATTTTATTAGAATATTTTCTAAAATAAGTAAAATTTTTGTGCTTTATATCTTTTTGAAATACTAAATCTGTGTACTTAAACAATAAAATGCAAAATATTTACCTAATAGCAACATTTATTACATACTATCAAAATATACGATGTCACGTTTTTATGGACAAAAGCTGTTTTAACTCTGTTTGTTTTAAAGTATCAAGAATTACATAATATGGGTAATTTCATGTCAAGTGACCCAACTCGATTTTGACGAAATTTGCACCAAGGTAGTACTATTGGATAGTAGATAAGACACAAATTTTCAGCTCTATCGGTCAAGAACTGCCGAACTTAGAGTGGGTCAAAATTGGACATTTTGATCATACAGGGTTTTATTCAAATGAGTGTTTCTCACTTATTGGTCCTAGCATTGTCCATAAAATTGTCCAAAGGAGTTCAGATAGATATTTCTTCATTGCTTCCAAAATAAATTATTTTTTTATTATTTATTTTAAAAAATAATTTTGTTTTTTTCAAAATGGTCCCTTTTTTTGCTTAGAAGAAAGCTTATAGAATTTCCTTTAAGGTTTTTGTAGTCCCATAATGAGATGCGAGTGGGATATCTATCAAAAAAATTTTAACTAAAAAATAATTTTTTTCCCAATTTTCCCCTATTTTTCCAAAATGGAAGCTTTTTTTGCTCAAAAGAAAGCTAAGATCATTACCTTTAAGAGCTTTGTGATTACTTTTTGAGTTTTCTATAAAATTTAAACTTAGCTCGTAGAGCCTGGAGTAAATTAGAATCTATAAAAGGGGACCTTTTGGAACTTTATCGTACTTCGAATGGTACTTTTTTGAGTTTTCTATTAAATTGAATTTAGAAACATGAAATTAAGCATTTAGAGCCCGGGGTAAATTAGAATCTATAAATCTATGAAAAAATAAAAATAAAAAGTCGACACAGACTGGGGTTGACCTCAATACCTTCCGTCTGCCAGTTGGATGCTCCACTCACTACACCACTGCTTAGCTGTTTTATTGTGCGTCAAATAATAGTTTTCACACACAAATACTATTTTATTTTCTGTTTGTCTAAAAATAGATATTTGATATCGTGTGCACAAAAAAAGGAAAAAAAAGAAAAAGTAACTGTTTTATGTTTGTTTGTTTCTTTATTTTGATTTTTTTTAGACTTTACATACAAAGTAAGTCATTAATAAAGTACTTAATGGTAATCATTGTAAGCAAAGATTTTGCAGGGAAATGAGCCTCTAATTTAGATGGGTGGTAAATCAGATCTTCGAAGCCCTGATCGATTTTGATTTAGTGTCAGTGATCTTGCAAGCGGGTTAGGATGTACATAAAGTTTCCTCAAGTAAGTTTCACGAGATTTCCTGAACTCGTCTTTTACTAATGGTATTTCCAAATCTCTATAGATGTTTTCATTTCTTATATACCATGGTGCTCCCGTCATAGTTCTAAGAATTTTTGATTGGGCCCTCTGTATAAGATCAATACTTGTATTGCTTGCGGTTCCCCATAGTTGAATTCCGTATGTCCAAACCGGTTTTAAAACAGTCTTATACAGGATGACTTTGCAATCAAGGCTTAACTTGGATTGATGGTTGATTAGCCAATGTATATTGGAAGATTTTATTCTCATATGGAGCCTTTTAGCTTCAATATGGTGACGCCAAGTAAGACGTCTATCCAAGTGGATGCCAAGGTATGTGACATGATCAGACTGTGGGATGTTCACATTGTTTAGTGTCACTGTTGGGCAGTTTCCTCTTCTGAGTGTGAACGTGATATGCTTACTTTTGAGTTCGTTTACCTGTATTCTCCAGTTTTTTAACCACGTCTCCACGCGTCTGAGATAAGTATCAAGGTTTCTTGATGCTACATTTATGTCCACATGAGTACTAAGAATGGCTATGTCATCTGCAAATGTAGAAATTGTTAGGTCGTTACACGTAGGCAAATCAGTGGTGTAAATTAGGTAAAGTGTTGGTCCTAGTACACTTCCTTGTGGAACACCAGCATTGATTGCATAGTCCTTTGTTACACAATCGCCGTACTTCACCCTGAACAGTCGATCAGAAAGGTAAGACTCTAATAAAGCATGTGTACTAGATGGTAGCAAAAGTTTTATTTTATGTATTAGACCTTTATGCCAGACCCTGTCAAAAGCTTGGGCAACATCCAGGAAGATAGCCGAACAGTACTTTTTTTGTTCAAAGGCTTTTCTAACCTCACCAGTTAATCGGTTTTATTGCTCGATTGTACCATGGTTCTCACGGAAACCAAATTGGTGGTCTGGGATAAAAAATGTTATTAATTTTCTTTGGAGTGCTTTTTCAAATAGTTTTGACAGACAAGGCAGTAGGCTAATAGGTCTGTAAGATGATGCCAACGTCACGTCCTTCCCAGGCTTCGGTATCATTATTATTTGGGAGATTTTCTAATCTTTTGGGATCGCATTAAATAGCAAAGTGAGTACAGTAATTGCCACATTTGGTAGGTTTCCAATCATGGAAGGTGTAATTAAATCATAACCTGGTGACTTTTTTAGGTTAAGATTGTCCTTTATGACTTTCTGAACATCTTCGTATCTTATTACGAATGTCTCAGAGTCTATTGGAATACTTACTTGTTCCAATACAAAATCATTTGTTGGAGGGTTAGGTTGGAATACACTAGTTAAGTGTTCTGCAAATACAATCCTTTGCACTTCGTGCCCAGGTGCCATCAGCTTTTCTTATTGGACTTTGACCCATTACCGGTGACCCTGCGATCCTCTTCCAGATGAAGGGCTCTTTTCAGATTTTTAGTTGCAGTAGACAACCTCTGCTTTGCAGCAGGAGATCTGTTTTGTTGCCATTCTCTTCTACGTTTCCTCTTTTCGATGAGAAGTTTTTCGATTTCTGCGTTAGACATTTTCGTTTTAGCTTTTTGGGAAATTTGTCGTTTAGAGTGATCTAAAGCCGAAGAAATTAGTGACTTGAAGTCACTAATACAATTGTTAATGTCTTCCTCACATTGTAAAATAGGGTCAGTGCGGATTTGACTGCTGATATACTTTTTATTCTTCAACCAATCAGTCTAGTAATATGATTTTTCAGTATTAAGTTTTGTTCTGCAGTTTTCTCCGTAATAGTGTATTATCACGGGTGAATGGTCAGAAGACAATTCGTATGATATTTCTGTAGAGATTGAATTTCTATTAATGTTTTTTGATATGGCAAAATCTATTAGATCATGAATCTTTCTAGGATCGGAAGGACAGTGTGTAGGTTGACCAGGTGATATAAAGTCCAAACTGCTTTTACGATCGACTAGAGTTCTGTACAGTTGTCTACCTTTGGGATTCATTAATATAGAGAGAGTATGTATGTTTAGCGTTGTAGTCACCGCATGCCAAGAAACGATCTCCTAATGTACTAAAAAATTCTTCAAAGTGTTCTTTAGGTTAGGGTTGATTCCCCAACTCCGCGTACAAGGTGAATGGAAGTTGCCTGTAAATAGCCTTTGGAGAATTTTTCTAGGGCATAATGTTTTATTCTATTTCTTATTAAGATACCAGTACCACCATGTGCCTTATCATCTTTATGATTTGTATAGTGAAATGTGTATCCTGAAATATAAAAGCTATATTTATTGGTTAGGTGGGTTTCAGAGAATAACATAACATCGATATTCATTGTATGGATAAAATGGGACACCTCAGCTTTATGCTGGTTTAAGCCATTTGCGTTCCAGAATAAAATAAATATGTTAGTTAATTTAAAAAATATTTTTGTAAATTTAGAAAAAAAAATGGGAAATTTACGAAATATTTTTCTATTTACATAAAAAATTTTGTTAATTTAAAAAAAAAACGTTTGTTTTAAGTCGTGAATTCAATTTTAGTTTTTCATAAATTTTATAAAAAAGAATATTGTAGTTTTATTAAATTGTAATGATATAAATATTATTAATAATGCGAAAGCTATTAAAATAAAAGCAAGCATTTTTAGTTGGAACATCGAACAACAGGATCATTTTCAATGGACTCTGTAAAAAAAAATAGAAATATTTTTTAATAAATAGGCATATTATTTTATATTTTTTTTAGGTTTTAATTAACCTTGAATAGTTTTAACAAGAATGTGAACACCTGGTACTGTCACTCCATCTCGAATTTTAATTTTATAAAATAAGAGATTTATAAAGTCCCACATAGGTGTGCACTGTTCAGGAAATTGTATATTAAAAACATAATAGGATTTAAACGCTGTATCGATTGCTTTGCTTAATGAACAATATTTGTACTTTAAATTACAGAAATTAACAAATATCTCCACAGGATTATATATAGATCCGATAACAGATATAAGGGGAACATTCAGTCTATTACCAACTAATTGTGTTTTATTGAATTGTTCATATTCAGCCTCGGTAGGGTGTATCATTATAAAAGATAGTCGAGCTTCTGCGTGCTTATAAAAGCGAGCATTTCCTTTTTTAAATTTTGAGTTTTCGATTCTCGAAAAAGGTATTTTACCTTTTTCGAGAAAGAAAACAATTAGCAGAGTTACATCTGAAAAAAATTAACATAATTTATAGCGATTCAAAAAATATATAAATAAAATACGTACTTTTATCAGCATTGTGTTTATTGTTTATAAGGTAGTTGAATAAAATATGGTCTTCTTCTTTAAATTTGGAAATATTTTTTGGAAAAATTGTTGAAATCATTACATCAGCAAATAATTGAAGATTATCCAGAATATATGTTATCTTTCCATACAAAAATTCGAAATCGGAATCAATCGATGAAGTATTGTTATTAAATTTCGTTTAAAGTTAAAATTGTGCAATTTACCATTTTGTATCCCTGAATGTCTTTATAAATCGGCCATTCATTAAAAAAATCCATTAACTTCAAATCGCTAAGGCATTTTAATCTAGAACTCCTGCATTTGTCCCAATGAAATAAAATTTGGTCAAATGGTAATGTTTTAAGCTCATGTTTTAATATTCTAATACTATCTTCTTCGTCATGCATCTCAGGTGGGGTTATATTTTCCGTAACATTCTTAGATTTTCGACATAAACTCGCTTTCCAATTTCTATACTTTTGATAAATTTTGCCTAGGGGAGCAGCATTTTGTTTTTTTAGAAAATAATAGGCCTGTAAAATAATAGAACAAAAATAATTTAAAAACAAATTCCTACGAGAAGGTAAAAAATGTAGAATCCACTTACCATTTGTTCGTCAGGAAATGCTTCAATAATTTGCTTCGCTAAATGTTCTGAATCTCTTACAGTTAACGCAAGTTCATTGTCGATAAAGTAGTGTAAGATAGACTCACAAAGAAGTTTTCTTGAGTTGTCATTAAGTTTTTTTTCTTTTTCAAACATTAATTTAACAGATTTTCCATACGGATTTGAATTTAGGATTATATTTAAACTTATTCCTTGTGGTTCAATTTCACTTTGTGTCAATAAATTTAAACGATTAAAAGATTTTTTCCACTCTGACCATTTAAAAAAAAAAGAGCTTGAACACCAAGAGATAATTCTGTATTAGCAAAAATACGAACTGCCATTTCAGACGGAAGTTGTAATAGTATATTGACATATAATTGTTGTTCTGCAAGAATAAAACGAATCAATTAGTAAATAGTGTACATATTAAAAAATGGAACAAACTTACCCATAAAGAATTCTAACAAGTCATTTATCGTCCATTTTTCTAAAAGATTTTCTAATTCATGTTTTAACTCTTTGTGTGTGCCCATTGACTCCAACATTGTTCTACTGGAAATTACGTTCTTTTGTAAATTCATTTTATTCTTTTACGTTAACAAATTCAAATATATTTATTTATTCTCCTAACGAAAGAAAAATATATTTTTATTGATTTATATTACAGCTTGAAACATATTTTTTTGTTCTTATCATAACCAATCCACTGTTAGTTGTCTAATCATTTTGAGGAGTTCCATTAAGATCACAAATTGATTTTATAACACAGGAGGCTTTTTTATATTTGTTTGTGTCAATTTCAAAAGCTTCATAATGTTTGTGATATTGTTTTATGTGAACCTCTTTGCAAATAACGTATGGATTGGTTTTTTCCATACGATAGAATGCATCTTATATAGAATCTTATATATTTCTGCATTCTCTATGAAAGTATCAAAATGTTGACATAACAAACATCCAGTTTTATATACTTTTGAGTAAAATGTACACTGAGAATAAGCTTTAAATAATATATTTTTAAAGAACTCATTAACTTCTTGTTCATATTCACATTCTGTCTGATGTTCTTGTGCAACAATTAAAGGTTGTTCGGATTGTTTAATTAGAAAGTAGGCAAAACCATACTGGAATTTTTTTGCTAATGAAACACAAATATTTTTTCTATTAAAAGAAGTTCTGGCATAGGCTTTGTACTCCTTGTGTTTTGCTTCATATCTAAAACACCAATAATTACGAGGTGGCCCAGATTGCAAAATAACATCATAATAATGAATCATTAAATGATGTTTGGGTTTAAGGGTATCATTAAAAAGTTTTATATATTCCAGATGATGAAGTTTAATCAAATTTTGCAACTTGTTAGCCATGTCTATTGAAATCTCGTTCGATGTTATTATATCAATAATTTCAAGAAACCTTAGAAAAAAACACCAAACTTCATCTTCCTCGGGGATAAGATCTCCTACCATTAATGAAAATAGATCCACAAATGTCATCATTTCCCGGGCACTCATTTTAATGTACAACCTTTTTAGATTGTTCAATGAAATTTGAGGTGATTTATTACCAATTTCAATTTCTCCATAGTTAAACATATCTTTTCTCTGATTGATGATCTCTAATGTGAAGTATTTTTTTGCAATAAAATTGTTTATAACATTAGACATATTGTAACGACATACTCCCTCAAAAAAATCATGCATTCTATCTACGGAATAATTTTCTGTAACATGAAATATTTTCAGGGAATTGAAAATACAATTCTCACGGATTCCACTTTTTGAAATATCATTCTCCTTAACATCAGAAGTATAATTATTAATATTACGAATATAGTCGTTTTCAACTGTTGTTAATGTGCTGCATGAACTTTTATCGTACTTACAGAATCTGCAGTAATATGTTTGATTAAATGAAGAACCGAATCCTAGAATATTATTCATTGCAAGATTATCCCCAATAATCAATCCTAAAACAAAACAAGTAAGAAAGTATAGTCGGGCTTGGCCGACTATATGATACCCTACACCAGTTATGAATATTTAATGTGATTTATTATTGTTTTTGTCATTCCGTTTGTAACACATCGAAATATTCATCTAAGACCCATGAAAGTATATATATTATGGATCCTTATTAAATTCTAAGACGATCTAGCTATGCCCGTCCGTCTGTCTGTTGAAAACACGATAGAGTCCAAATGGAAGTAGCTCGCTGGCTGAAATTTTGCACAGACATTTTGTATTGAGTTTGTTTGGTATTGAAAACGGGCAATATCGGTCCACGAATTCGGATAGCCCCCATATAACGTCCATATAGATCCCCTTCAGAAAATGACTTTAACGCTAATAACTGCCTTAAAGAAGCATATATAGCGATGAAATTCGACATGTGCATATTTTATAGGAACCTTAATATCATTGTAAAATTTTATGAGGATCGGTCCATAATTGACCCTATCCTCCATTAAGGTCAAATTCAGAAAATTAACTTTACGCTCTTAACTGACTTAAAGAAGCAGCTATAGCGATGAAATTCGACATTTACATATTTGATAGCAACCTTAACACTTTTGTAAAATTGTATAAGGATCGGTTCATAATTGACCCTACCCCCATATAAGGTCCCCTTCAGAAAATGACTTTAACGCTTAAAACTGTCTAAAAGAAGCATTTATAGCGACGAAATTCGACATGAACATATTTTACAGGAACCTAAATCGCTTTGTAAAATTTTATAAGGATCGGTTCATAATTGATCCTACCCCCCATATAAGGTCCCCTTCAGAAAATGGCTTTGACGCTCATAACTGCATCAATAGCGTTGAAATTCAACATGAACATATTTTATAGGAACCTTAATATTATTGTAAAATTTTTTAAGGATCGGCTCATAAGGCAGTTATGAGCGTTAAAGTCATTTTCTGAAGGGGAACTTATAGGGGGATAGGAGCAAATGAGGACCGATCCCGATAAAATGGGCTGGATAGATTTGTATTTATATAATATTTATATAATATATATAATATTTGTCCGTGCTAAATATCATTGCAATAACAGTGCTATTAAATGAATTGCGGATATTCAAGTCACTTTCTGAAGTGGGCTTTGTGTGGGGGCTAGGGTCAAATGAAGTCCGATCATTTCGAAATTCGGCTAGGTCATCAAGGCTTGTATAAAACTTAGTTGTGCGAACTTTCATCGAGATACATTTATATTATACATAATTATGAGCTCAAAAGCCCTTTTCGGGGGGTTCAGTTGTATGGGGGCTAGGTGAAATAATGGTCCGATTTTAACCATTTTCAATAGGCTTCGTACTTGGACCAAAACAAACGTATATTCCAAATTTCATCAAATTATCTTGAAAATTGCGACCTGTACTTTGATAACAACGTTTACATGGACACACGGACAGTCGGACGGACATCGTTAAATCGACTCAGAAAGTGATTCTGAGTCGATCGGTATACTTTAAGGTGGGTATAGAACTAATATTTTAATGCGTTACAAACATCAGCACAAACGCATAATACCCTTCCCACTATAGTGGTGTAGGGTATAATGAACTCGTTTGAGACCTTTTGAAGTTATTATATCAATGCTATTCTCTTCTAGAAATTTTATTTCTTCCAATAGTTTAAAAAGGCATTTCTCATTCTTATATTTTTTATAATCTGTGCCTTTAATAACAGCTGCTAAAAAAATGTTGCAATTTATAATGGTTGGAAACAAGTAATATATGAATGTTATTGGACAGCAGTGTGTTCCCAGTGGATTATTTACTTCCACGTCGTCTATATATAAAAACAAGTAAGAAATTATAGTCGGGCGAGGCCGACCATATAATACCCTACACCTTTGACAAAAATATAATGTGATTTAGTTGCCATAATAAAGCATTTAAGTTGAATTGTATCTTACCTTAGATATACATACTTAAGCCGTTTATTGTGGAATAAAATTGTGAACATTTAAGTGAAATTTTGATGGGGGCTTTTCATAGGGGCTAGGTTCATATGAGAACCTATTATTATAGAATTCATGGGGGTCATCAAGTCTTGTAAACAACTTGGTTTTTGCAGCTTTTTGTCGAGATATGAGTATATTAAACATAATTATGAACTTAAAAGCCCTATTCGGCGGGTTCAGTTGTATGGGGGCTAGGTGAAATAATGGACCGATGTAAACCATTTTCAACAGGCTTCGTCTACGGTACCATAAAAGATCATTTGCCAAATTTTATTGAATTATCTCCAAAATTGCGACCTGTAGTTTGATTACAAGTTTTAAAAGCCCTATTCGGGGGTTCAGTTGTATGGGGGCTAGGTGAAATAATGGACCGATGTAAACCATTTTCAACAGGCTTCATCTACGGTACCATAAAAGATCATGTGCCTAATCTCATTGAATTATCTCTAAAATTACGACCTGTAGTTTGATTACAAGGATTACAAGCCCTATTGGGGGGTTCAGTTGTATGGGGGCTAGGTGAAATAATGAACCGATCTTAACCATTTTCAATAGGCTTCGTCCCTGGGACAATAGAAGATCATGTACCAAATTTCATTGAATTATCTTCAAAATTGCGACCTGTAGTTTGATTACAAGGACATAGCTAAATCGACTCAGAAAATGATTCTGAGCCGATTGGTATACTTTAAGGTGGGTATAGGACCAATATTATTGTGCGTTACAAACATCAGCACAAATCCAATATACCCTCCCCACTGAAGTGGTGTAGGGTATAAATATGGTATGGTAGTTTTATTAATTAAAAAATGTTGGTTAAGTTTTTGCTGCCAAAGAGTACCTTTTAAAAATTTATTTTTACAAACATGCACAGGTGTTTTGATAGCTTCTAGAGATTTATGTAAGTTTTCGTCTTTTTCAAAAAATTTTTTAAATTGAAATGACAATGGAAGTAGAACTCCTGTTCTTTCTTCATCTGCTCCTTCGTCGTAAGTAAATGGATTTTTTATTTTATTTAAAAAGTCAATAATACCCAATTTCCCTTCCAAACTGTCACCAATTTTATGTTCAATAAGAAAGGAATTTACTTCCCACAGAATTGGATTAACAATATTTTCCATTATATCTTTTTGAAGTTCAACTACATCTTTTCTACTTAAATTGTTTTTGCTGTGTAATTTTAAAGAAAGAAGTAAACCGGGATCAATTTCATTATTCAAAATTTCGTCGGGCTCAGGAACAACATTAATATTTTCCGACAACATGGCTTCTGAACTTTTTGCTCTTTTACTAGTGGAGGGCAGATTATCAGGTTCAGTAAAATGTGACAGAAAATGTTTTATGAAAGATCGTATACTTCCACACTCTATTCCACATGACTCGATTGTACAAACGTATTTTATAATTTCATCTGATGCATGTGCCCACAAAAAATGCTTAGAAATATATTTAGCATTGGGGAGATGTACACCACATTTAAAGCAATCCATTTTTCAATTTTATTAAAAGCTTTTTAATTGAAATCACAAACAATAAAATCCGCAACACTAACATATAAATATATAAACAAATGAAATT